TTAAGTAATAAAGGGAAAACTGAGATGTCTTATAAAAAGTTATATTAATAAAACATTCAATGTAACTATTTTATCCATAATGATGATTATGATTATGATGATGATGATAATGATAATAATAATAATAATAATAATAATAATAATAATAATAATAATAATAATAATATCCAACAGTTTAAGTAAAACTGGTATTAAAAAAAAGTTATACCTTTTTGTTTAATAAAAATCAGAACATAACTTCAAGAGATAAGAATCATATTTCAACGATTTTATAATGTTATTTCAAATGAAATTTATAAAAATAGAAAGCTATGAAGAAATTAACAAATTATCTATTCAAACGAAAAAGATACTCCCTACAAATAAACTTTCTTTTTGTTTTTATGTTTTACCCATAGCACTAAAATGTTAAATGGATCTCTTAATCCAAATTTGATCTGATCTAAATTGGATGTTGATCTAATCTGATATAATTGGATCCGAATTTGGAATTGCCTTGAGAGATTGATATAAATCCGCGACCCATTCATTCATAGAAAAAAGAAATTCACAAAAAACCCTAAATCCTTGACCATCCAGGTATAGACAAAATATGCCTCATGCATGTCATGTGCACTGGGGAACAGGATTTATACAGTGCTACCACAACACAATACAAACTTTCCCCAGCCTCATGCACCATATGGAATTAATGCCTAAGCTGAAGAAAAACTGCAAGATAACATCATGAGACATGGATCCTTTGGTTTTTGAAAAGTAAAAAGTAGATAGTAAGACAGAATAACATAGCCAGATTTAGTTGTTCCCAAAATGTCAAACCATTCCGGCTATTAAATGACCTCCTCACCTCTAAATCAAACCCTACCGTTGCAGATCTGTGTATGTCTTTTTGTTATAGATGTTTCCTTCTTGGTCTTCATACTCTTCCTCAAGATCCGGGCGCCATTTGTTAACTCCTTGCTTCTCCTGGATTCTCTCCCATAGTTGTTTTGCTTCCTGCATTGAACGTATATTTTTATATGAGAAGCTACAATATTTGGCTGCTAGAGATATATCATTGGGGGGGGGGGCTAAAGCGTTCACTAGTTGTTCAACGGGTCGTGAAGGAATCCCCTGATTTGGGCGTGTTATGCCTAAGGGACAGAAAAGAAGAAGATACCTCAATGGATGTAATCTCGTTGAAGTTCTTTGTATTTGGGATGCCAAGGCATCGCATTCCATGTTGATGCCTCCATTCCTTGAAATGTCGTTCGTAAGCTCTACGACCCCAGTAACTGTGGTTCCCACAGATCTCACACTTGAATTCCTAAAAGGCATAATAAAAAAACACTATTAAGAGCACAAAAAACAAGCATTCAAATGAAATAGTAAACAGTGGGGAGGACCATTCTGGGACACATGTACATGGCTGGTTGACATGGAGGGAAAATAGGTTGAGTAAGAGCAAGTAATTAGGTATAGGCTGGTGCACCCAACTTGCTACTAAGGCTGCATAGCATTTGTCTCCAAATGAAACCCTTTATGCTAAACATAAACTAGGTTATTTTATTTGGCATTCAAAGATAGTCCTGCCCTAATGTGTTATCATCCAATAGTTAATACTATCCTAGCTTTTGAGGTAACCCTGGTAATTGAAATGAGAAGCAACCATGCTGACTCTAAGATACCAACAACATTACCCCAATGCCTCAAAGGTTCCCGCCAATTGCGGGGTAGGGGGGTCGGATGTACGCAACATGACCCCAATGTTTAAAACATAGAGCGGCTATTTCCAGATGAACTATGATGAGCATCGAAAGTTGCATTGACTAACAGCTATTTCACTATTAAAAGAAATAAAAATAGTTTAAAAGCCATTTTACATTACTCCATCATACCCGACACCAAAAAATAGTGAATCTTTGGCTCCACCGGAGATTATCAAACATGCTGACTATAAGATAGAAAGTGAAAATTTAGGAATTTATGATGTTACCTGACCAAGCCCATGAAGTTTATATAACCAGTAAGGGATAGGTTTCCCGTCCCATCCCATCGGCAACTTCAAGGGGTTATAAATCTGCTGATCTTCATCATCGCTCTCTAACTCTGCTTGTTCTTTTTCCTAACAGAAATCGACAACAAATTGATGATGCACTTTAAAAAAACTAAGAGTACACAAATTACTTATGCATGTTTCTCAATGAAATTCCATTTTAAGCGCATGATCTATGCTATGCAGAGCATAGCATAGAACAAGTCTTATTTGAACAAAAGAATCTAATATTTAATGTATGTTTTCCTGAAAAGAGTGTCCCAAACAAGATAAGTATTTTAAATTTAGTAAGACCAATACTATTAGAATTGATTATTTCAAATTGTATCTTTCTTAAATTAAAAATTGAACTTTGGTGAAACATGACTCCTTTTTTTGGATAGAGACAGTAGCCGTTTTGAAATCCATAGTTTGTATTCCTGCACGATTCCATTTATAGTTTCCCAACAGCAGGGCAATCTATAAGTCTATTTCCAGCGGAGCAAAAAGTCATTTTTCACAAAGTTTTAGCTTCAGGTAAAAATGGACTGATCAAAAGTGTTCATTCAATGTCCTCTGCTTCTTACTTTCTATGAAGTTTTGGGAAGTAAATGCATCAATGTGTCATGGTTCCAACAGAAACAACCTCTCTACTGTGTTTTTACTGGGGGGAGGTGCTTTATGAATACATTGTTTGTATTGTTGCTAACAGCAAGGTAATCTAGGAGTTACCTCTTCCCGTTCTGCCTCCCTTTCACCATAAGTCTGAGCATGTTTCTTCTCAACATTTTCCTTGGTAAGAACTATTGTCTGCAGGGCAAGTAATGCCAATTCATTGGGTTAATGCTTTTAGAAGTATAACACTATAAAAGTGCCACATAGAAGTCCTACAACAGCAGTTTGTCCTGCAAGATAAACATTTATGACAAATATACCTCCTCCAGTAGATCACACAGCTTTCTTAATTTTGCTTCCATAAATGCAACATCTTTTGCATCTTTGTTCACTTGTGGAAGAGCAATACCACCACTCTGCCTTGAACCTTGAGTGCCTTTTGCAAAATGGTTCTTGTCCAACTTTTCAAGAGGTGTATGCTGCAAGCAGAACTCTCTGAGGTGAATGCGGGTAATAAACTTATCGACTCATCAAAACAATAGAGAGGAATGCATATAAACATATACTTTTGAAAATAACAGAATCCCACGTCAATATAATTATATTAAGAGCCGCAATTTCTAGCAGACTAACCTTTGTAAGAAAAAGTCTTTCGGCACGCTGCTGGATGGTACCTCCTGACTTCAATCCTAAAGCAACTAGTGCCTGCCACAAAATAAGAAGTGAATATATGGTGCTTGAACAAGTATCAAGATGGAATACATATATGAGAAAAAAATGCATGCCTCCTTTAGCCTATCAGGGCCAACTTTCTTCAATTCCTCAACCGTATTATAATAGTCAAGATCAATCACAGTATGATCCATTGGAGCACTACCATTTTCCTGATAATCATTCCCCCATCCTTCGAATTTGCCATTTGTCCACTGCTCTTCGAATTCACCAACTAGCTACAATAATAGAAGGATAGAAGACTTCAAAAATTAACCAAAATTCATAGCATACTTGAACTTGTTTCGATAAGAGAGCATACTAATACAAATTGATAGCATACTTGAATTTGTTTTGATAAGATATCATACTTCAATACTTGATAATACAATATGATTCCTAGCCCCTAAGAGTTGTGGACTTGTGGAGTACTACAAGAATCCTTTACTACGCTAAAAGATAATGAAATTTTGGAAAAATAACTTCAAGGGATGTTCTGGGCAACAATGATCTATCAAGTTGGAACTGTGGCGTATGTTTTTGGTTGCTAGCTTGCCACAACAACGACAAACCCAGTAAAATCCAACAGCCAGGTGTTTGTGGAGGCTGTGTATACGTAGATCTTGCCCCTGCCACAAGAAACCATTCTTACCATTGTCAATATATCTGTCTATCGCAGTCTAACGATAGCAAACTGCAGTTCTCATAGAGACTAAGACTGAGCACTTTGTAGAATTTAATGAGAAACTGCACTTGAATGTTTCATTACACATAAACGCGATATTTATAATAGCTACTCCACTAACCTAATAACAAGCCTGAACACATTGAGCCCATTAAGTAACCCTAATTACATCTATTAACACTACCCCTAAAATTGAAACGTGACTCACATTAGTGGAGCACGAATGCACAACTTGGGCAATAAAAATAGACTAGAAAACAGCACAAACTTTGATATATAGTTCAGACTAAAATATATTTGTTGCGGCAAAAACGGACGAACGTGACAGGCCAAGCAAACAAACAAAAATTGTTGACAAATGACTCGCACGCGGGTGACAAGAGGACGACTAACAAGTGTCCGCCGGACACTTATTATACTGTCCGCCAGAGGTGCGACTAAACTCAAAAACAAACATGCCTAACATCCAGTTGGTTGCGACTAAACAAACAGAAACAAGTCAAACAACCAAATACTATGTGTCATCAAAAACTTCAAAAATGTGGATGGAGGGCAGACTGAACATGAAAACCTTCTCCCACGGAAGTCCAAATAAAGCAAAACCAAATCAAGATTTGCGAGTGGATGAATAGTGACTTGGCATACAGACAGCCTGTCAAATAAATGCAGCCCAATAAACCTCAAGACCATGACTAGTAATACACAAAGCAATGAATTCCGTAGTACATAAATGCCGGCAAAAGTTTGTGATATGTGAAGCCAAGGGATGCAGTCTAAATCATGGACGGACCTGACAATTCCCAAAATAACAAGGGGTAGAACGATAGCGGGCTGAACAGAACCCAAACAGCAACGGGAACAAGGGAACAAATAGCCACATGGAGTAGCAACTTGAGACAGACACACGGACATCTAGTCAAAGGACAGGGGTCAGCTTTGACGGTTCAATGACCGCAAAAGAAAAAAGGAATGAGCTGGCAAAGGGAACCAGACAGGGATCTGGAGAGCAGCTACACAGGAATCTGATTTCATTGGTTTATGGCAATTGGCGGCGACTTGGCAGAGCATATAATGCACCGAATTGGCTGAATAAATAGCAAGCACTGCCTGAACATATACGACTACGTCAATTGTGGCAGTGACACCAAACCTAAGAACGGGACGATGATTAGAACTTTGGCGGCATTTTGACGCAGCTCTACAGATGTCACGTGCTGCTGGAAAAATCAGAACGCTTGAACAACTGGAGCGACTGAAAGATGAAGAGGGAACCTATGGCTACGCGCCATCGCCAAACAAACCACAAGCAGTGGCAGCCGCGAAAGAATCAAAGCAAAACTAGGGTTTTAGTTGACAAGGATTTGGCTCTGATACCATGTAGAATTTTGTGAGAAACTGAACTTGAATGTTTCATTAAACATAAACACGGTATTTATAATAGTTACTACTCTAACCTAAGAACAAACCCAACAACACTGAGCCCATTTAGTAACCCTAATTACATCTGCTATACACTGCAAAGTGATGACATACTGTAGTGTTTCTAGAATACCTCAAGCAAGGTTGTTAAACTCGAGATCTTAGCTGAGATCGGTGGATGATTAGAAGATCGTAACTTGAATCGTAGGATCCTAGTAGCTAATGTTTAATACGATCAATTTGTACATAATTTAAAAATTAAATACCCATAAATCATAATCATAACATGCAAAAGAATAAAAATAGTAATAATTTCATTACCTCTAAATAAAAACTTCAAAAGTAATTTACAAAACGAAGAGAGAACTTTTTTGACAGAGGAGAGGGGAAGCAAGTTTTATTTCAAAATAGAGGGTAGACGCACGCAAAAGACGAGGCTTAAAGGTGCATATCGTGCGACTCTTTCTCTTCTTTTTGAAATTATATCTTTTCCCTCGTAAATTGAATACGTATCGCGTCAATTCATATATAGTTTAGATCCAATTGCTTGCCGATCCCACGATTCTAGCTTCCAACTCAACGATCCAGGAAGATCCTAGAAACTTTCAATTCCAGCAACGATCTAGATCACATGAAGGTAGAGTACTAGTAGATTCACGACATTAACAACTTTGACAAGAAGGATCTGAAGCTGCTATAAATACCTTACATGCAATTGGTGATAAATGCAGATCGACCCCGCAGTCTAACAACTCATCGAGTCCATGGAGATTGAGTGATCGACAATGATCGAGCAGATTGTGACTCCACCTCTTCGTTTCATTATGTTGTATGTTTCTTTGGCTGACATAAAATGAGGTATCTGGTGTCTGGAATGAGTGCGTGAACAAATAACCCTAATGTTGAAATATTAGCTAGCGACTAAGCCTTATTATTAATGTCTTTTTCTCTGCAAAATTCTGTGATCTTGTCTTTTTAATAACAGAATATTTATTAGGATATTACTTGAACATAACTTTTTGTACAGATATTATTCAACAGAATATTTTTTAGAGCAAACTTATTTGCAGGTTATTTTTCAGAATATTAATTTCTTAAGAGTTTATTTAAGTTTGGTTTATAATATTCAGGTTAGTTATGCCTAAGTTGCCCTGTGACAGGTGTGGGTGCATATATGAAGACGGTGACAGAAAACAGCATTTCTAAAAAATATAGGATGTGAGTGCAGCAAGGACATGGCAAAGAGATAATAAATAAACACTAATAGAATCCTAAATGTAAAAAAATAATGCCAAAAACTTTCTCTATTTTTTTGTTAATACTTTTTTTCATGGATTATTTGCTAATAAATACGGAATACAAACCACACGGGTAAATTTCACCAATGGTACCTGAACTTTAGCTGGAATTTTGAAGTGGTACCTAAGGTACCTGAACTTTAGCTGGAATTTCACCAATGATTTGAAGTTTAGTTACCACTTCGAAATTCCAGCTAAAGTTCAGGTACCATTGGTGAAATTTACCCCAAACCACACAACAATTAATAAAAGAAATAACCTCAGCAAATTGAGCAATTTTTACGCACGGACAAATTGAACAAATTGCAAACTAATAAAGATGCACGGAAATAGTGAGCAGCAAATTGCAAAAGCAGAGCAAAATTAATGGAAAAAGTAAAATTACAAATCTTGAAAGAAAAAAAAAGAAAGCTAGAAAAAGGCATATCGCCGCTGGTATAATATGCTCACCCTAATAACCTAATATGTGCAATAAAAAAACCAACTGGGGCACGGGTCAAAGTGCAGATCCAACCCTCTATATATATATATATATATATATATATATATATATATATATATATATATATATATATATATATATATATTAAGAAAAGGGATTTTATTATTAACAAAAAAAGAAAAGAGAATTACAAGAGATAGGGTGGCCAAACCCCTATAGACCGGCCAAGCAAATGCCAAGGAAAAAAACCAAGTACATAAGGACACCAAATACATAAAGGGACCATGGTTGATGTTGGAATCTTGCACCGAGCAATTTTTTCTTTACAATAATATCCTCTGCGAAGAAAACAGCTGCAAGTTGTTCTGTTTACCAAGATGGCATCCTGCTATCCTAAAAAGGCCAAGCAATATTTCCAAGAGAGCATCCTGCAAGAGTAAAAATACTAGCCAACAAAAACCAGAGTGCATAGTTGTCCCCATGGTCTAATCCATATGTCAGGTAGACTAGAGAGTCTTGTTTCCCTACTGTAGTCACTTTTACCTTGTAGTTGAACTCTACCTTGAAGATGGAGCTCCATAAATCCCATTTAGATTATGAGCTCGCGAAAAAGGATCACGTCTCAACAAGCAAGAAAAATGATGTAAAAAAAAACTGGGGACCTTGAAATCCAAACCTGTAGACATCTATGCAGCATAATCACAAGGTTTTTTGGAAGAAAGAACCCCATATATATATATATATATATATATATATATATATATATAGTAAGATCTTACGATCCGAGTCACGATCTTACGATGTTACGATCTTCATTATGCTTATCGATCTTACGTAGAATCTAGAGTTTGACTACCATGGTTCGACCCTTCTAGGCAAGTTTCAGCTTGCTTGAGAAGTCTGGATTGGACCTTAAGCACAGAGTCGAGAAATGATTGTGAATAATTGTTGGGTCAGTGCATTTGGAGATGGGTCTAGGTGACATGAAAGGGAAGTATTGGCTTGATCATTTTGTAATGTAGTTTTAGTGCTGAGTATGTTGGACTAGAAAAGGCTCTGATGCCAAATGATAGAGTAGCTTATAAAATGGAATACAGAATATAATGAAAACACTAGTTTATTTGAGTGGAAGGATAACAGTTCCTTCGGTGAGGCCAAGGCTCCGCTCACAAGTGTAAGTTAATACTAAATGCCTGCCATCTAGAGTAGGATATATTATACTCCCTTCGTCCCAATATGAAGTTGATTCACTTTCTTTCTATATTTTTTTTACTCATTTGATAAAATAATAGTCATGTAACCTTCTAATGTAGGATTTAAATATATGAATTTTACTTTTGAGAAAGTATAATAGTCATGGAAACTTCATTTTGGGATGGAGGAAGTATATAGGTAAGAAAGATAAAAGACGAGCAATAGGAAAACAGTAGAAAACAAGTAGCATCTAAAGTCACGGATATTGACTCTTAGAATATTCCATTAGGCAACAATTGACCAGGAACACATTCATCATGTGCATTATGTTCCTCAAAATCCTATGATTTTCCTTCTTAAATAAGTGATGCTTTCCTTGCTATCATGATGGTTACATGAGCGAAGGCCATGAAGTCCAGGAGACCTTCTAAGCCCTGCTGTCTATGACCTAATAAATTGGGCTCGGAAAGCCAAAGAGTATAATCTCCAACACATTCATTGAAGAACACACACAGAGAGAGAGAGAGAGGGAGAGAGAGAGTAGATTTTACCTTGTTGACTTCTCTTTGCATGGAATTAATTGTGGTTTGGAGAAGACCTCAAGATAAGCAGTATATTCAATTAACTCACCAAATTTTAAGTTGATATATTCACCATGCAGCACGTGCAAATCAAGGTATCTCCCATGCCCTTCCTACATCAGAATGCCTGTTAGCTGTGATGTAAGAAGAACATCTCTAAATCCCTAAGTTTCCTACTCAGTATTGGTTTTAATCCCTTTGTTTCGGAATACTTGCTTTCCAAGTTTTTGTTTTCTATTTGTTAGCTGTAATCTATGTGTTACTCGTTCCACCTATCAGTTGCTCTACATAGGGCTGAAGACAATTTAGTTAACTATTATATGAATTATTTCATATTTTATTTCATTGCATTAGTAGTTTCTGTCTTATAAGCCCTTCTTGGTTCTGTTCTCTTCTCTGCTGTTTCTACCTTTCATATTTCTGTGAATTATTACAAGTGGTATCAGAACACTATTTCCTCGGCCAACCATGAACCATTATGGCGGCGGCCATGACTAATTCAGAGGAACGGATGAGAACAAGAAACAAGACCTCCAGGACCAGGTAGACAGGACTTCCATCCAATTCAGACTCTATTGGCTACCGTTAATGAATTTGAAATGCCGTTGCCACCTTGACAGTAAATCAAAACCAGAACCAAGCACGACACCAGAAAGGGTATAATCACAGTGGGAAACACTGTCAGTTTAAACTCATATGGATTTTCTAAAATCACTCAGGATCATATTGCTGCCAGGGCTATTAAATGCCGCAAATGTTTTTCAATTGGATGGCACACCTTAGAAACAGTGAGTCAAGATGACAAGTGTCAACATCAATGCTAACACATTCAATTGGAATGTCTCACGAGCAAGAACCATCAATTTTACGAACAGAGCACCATACATACATACATACATACATACATACATCATACATACATACATACATACATACATACATACATACATACATACATACATACATACATACATACATACATACATACATACATACATACATACATACATAACATACATACATACATACATACATACATAC